TGAAGCCAGGATGGTCCGCGACATCCGACCGCAGACGGTGTCGACACGAGACCGATGGTCCATTACTAACGGTGTTTACGATTTCAATTACTGGCAGGCCGATTGCATCGGCCATCACCGTCAAGGATGAGGTTATTCACTTTTATTCGAATGCCAATGCTTTATCGTGCCTCGATCCTTCTCTTCTCGTCGATTATTTGCATTTAAATAATCGTAATAATACGTAAAATATAATTAATTTGATAGATGTGCGTGTATACGATAATGTGTAATCGATAATAATTAACGACTGGCTGTTGAAAAAGGCCAGCAATCCTCGATGCTGTCCTCGACAGGTAGAATCAAGGTAGATTTTCAAACAACTACGATTTTCAAAAGTTCTTAAAAAAATTACAATTCTCAAAGGTGTTTTCAAAAAAAAAGTAACGACAGAAATTCTGGAAAACAGAAATCTCGAGGAAATTGTATAATCCTCAAAAAATTACGATCTGTCCAAAAGCTTTCGAAGAAAAAAATTGCAATTCTGAATGCAATTCTGAAAATCAGAAAAAAAAGGAAAACCTACCCAAAAATCTCGATTCAGCTGTATCATTACGAAATTTTCAAGGATATTTCGAAATACAAAATATAATTAATTTAGATGTAATACATATAATCGATAATAATTAACGACTGGTTCTTAAAAAAATTGCAATCTTGCTGTCCTCAAAGACAAGAATAACGATAGCTTTCAAACAATTATGTTCAAAAGCTTTCGAAAAAAAATTGCAAACTTGAATGTAAAGCAGAAAAAAAAGAAAAACCTACCCAAATCTCGATTCACCTGTATCATTACGAAATTTTCGATTCCATCCACTTTCCATTCAAGGATATTTCGAAATATAATTAATTTAGATATACGATGGCTCTTAAAAAGAAAGATAATTCTCGAACAACTATGTTCAAAAGCTTTCAAAAGAAAACCCCCCTGGAATGTAATTCTGAAAACCAGAAATCTTAAAAAGAAAGGAAAACCTACTCGAGGCGAACCTCGATTCGACGTATCATTCGCCGCGTATCACTACCAAACTTTCTTCTTCACCATTCAAGGAAAAATACCGATTCGAGCGACTACTCCACCGCGAGTTGGAAGCAAATTAACCAAAATCACGAATACATTGACGCATCGTGTCGGCGCGAGAAAGTGCAAGAAAAGGGGCGGAAAAAAAGAAAATGAAAGCGGAAACGCGTTATAACGCCTTCGAAACGTGAAAAGTGTGCGACGTTAAACGTGCCCAATTGGGGAGGGAGGGAAGGAGGGTGCAGAGGAGAGGCGCAGGTGCAAAAGATCGGCGCGGACAGACTTTCACATATGCGAAAATGGAGCGAGAAGGGGCCGTTGATGATTCAGAGCGGGAGGAGAGAAGAGGAGAGTCCTTGGTTTCGCTCTCGTGCAGGAATTAGCGATAATTATAGAAGGGGCTAGCACCTGCACGCCACGCAAAAACGTGGAATGCCCTGCCGCTTTCGCGCTCCTTGAACCGCGTCCCCTCGAGGATCACTCGGGGGGACATTTGGCAAGGCTGGCTGGATAATCCGGCAGGTTAAGAGGCGCGAAAATCTGGTGAAATTACAGGAAACGTTCGTTAAACGAACGAAAGACGTTTGAAAAATATTAACAAGGGATGGCGTAGGTTGAAGGCCGATGCGATGGAAACGAGTTTCATTCTTTCGATTATCAATTTTTGCTTCTTCGTGGTGTGTCATTCTCTGGGTTAGAAAAAGTGGAAAGAGAGAAATTGACAATTTTCTCTTTTCCAAGTGGATCGAGAATTTTGCAAAGTTTTTTTTTAGTTGTTGAGAGATCATCGAACGAATTATTGCTCGACTTGGTTAGATTTAAAATATAATCTCGTCGAAAATTATGCGATGGAAACAAGTTTAATTCTTTCAACTCGTTTCGATTAACAATTTTCGCTTTTTCGTGTATCATTTGGCGTGTCATTCTATGGATAGAATTGTGAAAAGTAGGAGAGGAATTGACGTGATGGAATGGATCGAGAATTTTGCTAAAGTTTTTTTTTTTTTTTTTTTTAATTGTTGAGAGATTATCGAGCGAAGAAATCATTGCTCGACGTTGCTTGGATTTAAAAAAATATAATCTCGTTGAAAATTATAGGATGGAAATATTCTAAAATTTCATCGAATATAACGAGAGATGGTGAACAAATTTCTTCGAAGGAACCAATTAACTAGATTCGAAATAATTCTTTCAAGGATTGTGTGAAGAAGGGGAGGGGAGGGGGAGCAAATTTCATCAAAGTCGGATCGTTTATTTCCTCGAGGTGGGGGTAAATAAAAAAAAGGATGTAATCTGGGAAGAAGAGGAGACGTAATCCAAGGAGTGGATGGCGCGTAGAATAAAAAGAATATGGCGGAAACGTGATCATCCCGCCTTCGATTTTACGCGATGGAGAGAGATTTCTTCTAGGTATTGTGTCGTAAACCGCGCTGCGTTGCCATAGAAATTTAACGCACGGCGCATTTCGGACGAGTATAAATAAAACCGAAAGAAATGGCAGAAATCCTTCCTTTCACCGCCCACGACACTCCTCCTCCGAATTTCTAAGCGATTGGATACTCGAGGGATCTCTTAGTCGTAAATAATATTCGGAATAAAGTAAAATAGCAGCCAAGGATACACGACGCTTTTAGCCGAATGGATCGAATGGAATTTCCTTCGCGCTTTCTCTTATCCTCGTCAAATTGTGCAACAATTATGATTATTATCACGTATCTCTTTGGCAAATCTCTCGAGCAAAGAATTAATTTTTCTTCTAATAAATACTGAAACTTCGAGGATTAAGTTGGGAAAGAAATTACGAGCGAAAAATTTCATGATCAAGGACGAAATTAAAAGTTTTCTCGAAAGTTTCGGTAGATATTTATCCTCTAGTATTAAATTAATTCTGTAACTAAATTTGCTAAAGTACATAATCGTGATTATTGCTTTAACTGTTCTTTTATTAACACTAAACATACTCTCGTATCGAGAGTTCAGAAGTCAATCACATAGTTGAAGAATCTTTTTATTTTTTTTTTTTCAATTCTTCTTGGTTTACAAATTAATTAAAAACTGTTCGAGTAATTACTTATTTGATTTATCAATTGGAAACTCGAATAAAATTAAAGAGATTATTATCAATCATGTAAATTCATTTTCAAAGAATCTAACACTTTTACGCTGATTAATTTCTCAATTCTTCATCAATTCTATTCTTATTTTATAATCGATAAATAAATCAATCCATATGTTTCTCGCCAAAAAACGAAACGAAAATAAAAAGATAAAAATTGGAAAATTAATTATACGCGATAATATAATTCGATAAAAGATAAAAAATAAAAAGATAAAAATTAATTACACACAAATTGTAATTGCAATCCCCGAATGAAAGTAACAAACGAGCGAAGAATTTTGAATCAAAAAAAAGCGATCGTTCGTAAAAATCCGGTTTACAAGGCACGCTACGATTCGATAAAAGACGCTTCGACGTACGAGACGAAGAGCAATTTGTATCGACGAGTTGCGACTCTCTGAAAACGAGGAGATCCCGGCACCACGATAGCGAGAGGATTGAATTCGAATGGGTTTTGGCAGAAGGCGGAGTCGTTATTCTGATTTATCGCGGCTGTTCGCCTTTCCGCCAAGCGGCGACAGAACGACGCGAAACAATAAAGCCGTAGCCAACATTAAACAACGAGAGAACGGCCGTGGCCGTGAAAGAGATCCGATCTAAAGTGCCTGTTACAACGTTGTCGTAACAACTTTCTTCTCTGCCTCTCTCTTTCTCTGTTTCTCGAACCCACCATCCTCTGCGCCTTTTATCGATCTAACACGCGACCATCTTGTATTATCACCTGTTTTCTTTTTCGTGGAAATGGATTTTTTTGTTGCGAGAAAGTTTAAAGTTTCGTTGCGAGATCGATTGAGATGGAATTCAAGCGATGATAAGACGTGTTTGCAAGTACTTATATAACTTTGTAAAATTTTATATTGATTGGAACATGAAATTTTTATGGTTTATTTTATGGGATTGGACTGTAGAAACGACTATCCTCTACTACTTTTCATCTTTCGTTTAAACAATAAATGGATTTCCTTGTATATCCAATTCGAATTATAGAATCTATAAGTTATTTTTTTTCTCTTCGTCAAAAGATCGATATCCCAATCGTGTATATATTCGAGGATATTAAAACTGAAAAATTCAATTTCCTGGAGGAAGGACACGAGAGTGAAATTATTTACGCAAAATAGAAGACTATCGTTATTTTAATTCAAACGATACGTAAAAAGATCAAAGACACAGCGTACCGATTATTCTCTACTTTTGATCTTTAACAATAAAGGTTCGGATAAATGGATTTCCTCGTATATCTAATTCGAATTATAGAACCTAGGTTATTTTTCTCTCGTGTCAAAAGATCAATATCCCAATCATTCAAGGATATAACATTCGAGGATATAAAAATTGAAGACATATAACTAAAAAATTCGACTTCTTGAAAGAAAGACAGGGCGGAGTGAAATTATTTACGCAAAAGATAAAAGATCAAAGACTATAATATTATAAATAAAGGACAAAACGAATTGTCGAAACAAAAGATTGAAGAACATCTCCTGAACATCTCCTTGAACTCCCGACTCTATCTACATATACACATGCGAAACTTCACGCACTTCGGCGCACGAAAATCCATCTAAATTCAAATCGCGAATCGGCAAACGTATCGATCCCATCCGTAACGCAACACATAATTCACACCTGTAACCTGCCCCCTGCATGAATAATTCGCGGGATAATAGCCGCGAATTTCAAAACTCTCCATTTTCGACGTTTTCGCCGGGAAAAATAAGAAAATTCGTCGTCACTCGTACTCGTCGACGAAGAAAATCGACAAGAGAAAGGATGAATGAACAAGAGGAGGGGGGAAGGAGAGAAATATCGACGACTCACCTTTCAGCTGGGTCGACTCGATGGCGAACATGTTCAAAGCCAGCAACTGAAGAAGTCGTGTACCGGGTAGAGGCAGTGGCGAGTGTTGAAGAAGCGCCCTGAACTCTTTCAACATTTGAACACCAGCTTCTTGGAACGTCTCCATTCTGTGACAAAAAAAAAAAGGTGGTTAGATTAAATAGATTAAATTATTAATTGGATGTTACGTCAATTCTAACTTGGTATTATTTTTTTTTTTTTTAAATACAAAATATTGAGTACATCACAAAATTTATCATCCAATTTTACATTTAAAAAAATATGGAATAATTTTATCGATGAAAATTATATTTTTCGTATTGTTATACTAATAATAAAAGTTAATAGTTGACAGTATTATTTGGTGAAAATGATATGAATTTCGTAAAAATCCATTTCCAAGCCAAAGTAGCTTGCGAAAATGGCTTATCGAGCACGAGACAGGATTAAACGTTGGAAACGTTGAAGGTTAAATACCGCGAAATTTGTCCTTAGCGACAAATGCCTCCTCGACAAAATGGAAGGAATGGGTAATTAAACGGACGGCTCTATCTCTAAAATTGCATCGCGAAGTGAATCGTGGCCGACGTAAAATCCGCGATAAAGGAAGGGTGGATGAATAAATGAAAAGGCAGCTGTGTCACGTATCAGTCATCTGGCAAGATCGTGCATATTTCAGGCATCACGGTCTGGATAAGGACGTCGACCCACCAAAGGCTTGCGAACTTTAAAACAATAACGGCTCGTGTCAACCTTAATATTTCCGGTTCCCTTCGTCGGATATATCTCTCGAGAAAAGGATAAAATAAATTTTATTATTACCTTGCGATTTTATCTTGTTGCGAATCATTGTTCACACCTGATGAAACAATGACAAATTTTTGTGACGATAAAAAAATAATAAGTGCTAAAGTGATATAAATATTCGTATTAATTGGTTTAATTTGCAATTTTTAGTGATCAAAAATTACACCATGTTTTTATAGATATATTATTTCCATCTTAAGAATCGATACAAATAAAATATCGACGTTAGATTAAATCTTCTGAAAGTATTTGATTAACCCTCTTTTCTCACGTATCATTCCCTTTCCGTTCGTACTATCTTATCGATTTATAGATAACCAATCTGTATCTACAATTCTCAACTGAAGCTGATAATCGAAGTAACGAGCTAATTTATTAATATATTGTCGCGTATCATAGTGAAAAGAAAGAGAGAGAAAAAAAACAGGCAGAACATCTATTTCTTATTTACCACTGTGCAAATGCACCATTAAATGCAGCATGTTGTCTACCGCCGTTCGTTATCTTAATCCCATTTGCCAAGATTATTAAGCGATTAAGGTAGATAAATGGAATCAAATTAGTGTGGAAAATTATGGAATATCTCGGCTGTACATTAATTTTATTTTATATCGAGGAATCTAGCGTGGATGCATTATAAAATTTCTTCTAACTTCGAAGTTACCGACTCGATAAATTCAAAGAAGAATTTTACAAAGATATATATGATTTGGAATGAATTATAGACAAACTATGTTGCGAAATATTGTGAAATGTTGTGGAATTCGTAAATATATCTATTATTTGAAAGATAGAATCAGAAACTATTTTTGATAAATTTAAGAACACAGATGATCTATAATATGTACCTACGTGCACGAGATAACAATAAATTTTTCATACATGTGTATACTACTGTTGCATGATATAACACGAAACTTAAATACTAAAACAAATTGATCACGGTCAATAATTTTTTTAAATAAAATATACACTTCATCCAATATTCGATATATTGGAAAAAAAACAATAAATACTAAAACAATATCATACTTATATCTATCTTATTCGTCACTTATCCTTACACTCTGTAACAATTCCTACTAAATTTTGTAATTATTGCATTACGAGAGACTTATAATTTATAATTTTGCACCGATTATTTTATTAAATCCCAAATACCACATGTTATCCCACCAATTGATCAAATCAGACTCTCTCGCTCAAAAAAAAAAAAGTCATTAAGACGCAGAGGAACTTGACTTCCGCCAAGGAAGTCGTTACGAAGTAAATTTCTCGAGTGTCGAAAAATCGATTAATTGAAACGCGTTCCACGCGAACTTATCGCGGAATAAATAATCGGTTTTACTCTAATTAAAACGGATCGATTCCGCCTCGTTAACGGGGGAAGGGTTGAGGAGGGGAAGAGGAATTTATCGGAGGAGGAAAATGGCGCGAGTGATAACTCTCGTAGCCGACGATAGTCGGCGAGTTATGGCTAATTACGACAACTCTCCCATAATACATTCGAAAGGCGTTCGCAAACCGATCAACAGCTCGTGGAACATCGACGTGGGTGTGTGAACTGTGCGATAAGAAACCTTCCTCCTCTCGCTATATACGAGAGGAACCGACGACGAGGAAATCTATATAATCACATCTTACGTGTGTACACCTTGGTTCAAGATATCTTGGCGAAATATCGTTTTGACGATGGAAGATCTTGAAAATAATTGCCGACGATTGTTCCAAATAATGATGGTGGATTGGATTCTTGAATGATTAATTCGATTCAGGATCTTGATTTGAATTATATCCTCTTTTGGATATAAGACTGATGTAAAATGATTCAATTCAGAATGTTGCGTCAATCTTTAACGATTTAAAATTAAATAATTAAAAATTTTCGTATTCCCTAACGTTATAACGTTGTATCGAAATCCAAAAATTTGTCGAAGAACTTTCAAATCGTGAAATTTTCAGAAAGAGGATACAATCGAAGTTTTCCTTTTCGTTAATTCATAAAATTTCACTAGAATTGACATCATTTTAACAGCCCTCTCATAAAGATGAATCCGCTGAGATCTCGCATGGCGAGGTGCTACCTTTCCCACAACCTCGTTCTCTTCTTAGCGGCGATAGCAAAATTTACAACCATCCAAGTCTCGCTTGGGTTCACAAACTACAGAATTCGTGGCCCTTCTTTTTATATAGAGGAAACCTTGGTGAAATCGATGCGGTAACTAAGTAACTAGATTTGTCACTAGATATACATAGTATACAACATGTAGTATCAATTATTTAAAAGAAGAATAATATTATTTTAACACAGTGACTAATTACCACTAATTGTAAGCAATGATATCTAAATTGTATCTGAATTGATATATAAATGAATAATTATTTCAAAAAGAGAAGAGTAATGATGTTTTACTAAATTTCAATTTCAATAGTCCAGAAATTTAATATAACAATTATAATAATTCTAACTAAAATGAAGAATTCCAATTCAAAATTGATTGCAAATGTAAAGAAATATATCACGTTATGCATACGTGAAGTTCAAGTGATATCAGAAACTCAGAAGGAAATTGATTGGAATAACAGTCATAAAGCTTGTTTTTTTTTGATCAAAAATCTGTACCTCGATCAACAATTTAACGAGGCAGAAGAACTTTAATGGCTGGTTTATTTCGATCTGAATTCTATCTGAATTATTTCGATCTCTATTCGTGGATCCATTTAACGGATCCATTATAGATCCAGTTACACAGTTATGAAGATTGTATGGCAATAATTTTATCTCAATCTTTCGCGAATGATGCTCGAACATCCTTTCTTACTTATCTTTCTTTATTACCGTTTCTGCAAATTTTTCAGACTAATCTGAGAAAATTACGACCAAAGCTTGAACTTGACAAGAATTTAATTCACATTTTCGAAACAATTTCAAATATTGAAAAATTGAGTAAAATTGTAAAATCTTAAATACAGTCTTCCAATTTCATTCAGAAATAAATTAATCCTCTCTTCCAAACGTATACGACAAAATAAATATCTTTCGAATCACCCACATTTTAAAACAAACAAATATTAATTAATAAAAAGATCCTCCTCCTTGAGATTACTCCATCCCAAAATAAAAATTCCCGAAAACTCGTTTCGAAAAATTATACCCCCAAATTATTGTTGATAAAACTCATCCTATATTTTTTAAGAGAATAAAAATTTTCTTCAAAAAAAAAAAATAATCGCAAAATCACATTCGTCGAGACCTCGTCCGAGGATAAAAAATTCCTAAAAAATCTGCCCGATCCGCGATACGACTCAGCAGGCCGAATCATGGTCCGCTTAAATTTCTCGAGGAGAGCCTCCTCCCTCCCTCCCTCAGCCAGCCAATCTTTTTTCCAAACAGACGTTCACTCGAAGCTATCCGTGGAAGGATACCTTCGCCTGCCGTCTCCTCTCGTTAATTTCGATCGTTCTGCTCGGTAATCGCCGGCTCGATTTTCAACTAAACCCCGCGGAGGATCGGGGAACTGGCACGCACCCGTGCGCATCGTGCACGCTTTGTAATTACACGGAGGGTACATAATGTTGCCGCGTGGTGGCAGGCTGGGCGGAGGTTTCTGGCACGCAAACGTGGCAGACGTCTCCTCGACAGAGTGCGCACGTGTTACCACCGTAAACACGCTGTAATTATTAACACCGGACGGGTATTCTTCACGGTTTGCAACGGTGGCTGTTCATTAGCTAAGCTTTATTATTCCGTCCCTGGCTCGCACCTGTCTCGACCGATGATCTCTGCCAATCTGTGCTAGAAGAATGCACTCTCCAATCGAGATATGTATACATATATACAGAAGATTCTTTGGAACTTTGACGATGATGGTGGTTCCGAGATAATCGGGATGGGTCAGGTGTTGCAAATTAATTTATCGAAACTATCGATTTGTAATGCGTTGTAGAAATATTTTAATCGCATATATAATCTACCGATTTGTTCCGAATCAATTCTGATTTAATCAGAAGATTTTTATTAGATACAGATCGTCCCTTTGGATTAGTATACGTGACAGAATACGTGGTAGAAACAAATATATGGAACAGTACGCGAAATATAATTTTAAACACACTGATAATTTTACAGAAAAACGATATTATATATGCTAAAATTGACCTCGCCCTTTAATTGTGCGCCGATTTTCAATTACAGGAAAATTAATTCCAAACTTCTTGATCGATTCAATGGCCGTTTTTAAAGATAACCGTGAAGAAAGAAGACAAATTCCACGTCTCTATTTATTTAACTTGACAAGTGTTAACTGCCGACTAGAAAGAT